ACCAACTTGGTAAGTTGTTGCCTGGGGGCTTGCCTAGTTGTCACGAGGTGCCACGTGTCGCAACTTCACTGGAGGGCCAAATCTGCCCTCATCAACAGGCATTCGAGATTTTGCCTTGGATTGATGTCACAGAAGATTTGAATGTTGTGTCATCCCTCTCGGTGTGAAAGCTTCGAAAATGTCCATATCAAGTGCGCGAGAACTGTGAAAACGTCTTTGTTTGTGCAAACCATACTCTTAAGAAACTCCAACCAATTATTTGTTATTCTAAACTATGCCCCAATATACTTGAGTTTGAATATACGATCTTTACAATGACAGGGAACCTATAGATTGGATGAATGTAAACTTGGGATTGATTGAGGATTTTATCAAGCAATGGTGATGATTATTAATGAGTTTATAGAATGATGGAGAGACAAAGAAACAGAAGAGGGTGGGGAAAGAAGCTGGTTGGTGAGGGGCTGGAGGGAGAGGTCACACGTTGGAGGAGTTTCTCCTACCAACAGAATGCTCCCAACATGTCCTTGGGAGTACTTAAGTAACTGGACAAGTGTCTCTCCCTAAATGGGAGGACACCAAGAGGGTAAGGATGCAAGTCGGGCAGCTGAGCTGGGTTTATGGTCAACCCAAGCCCAATCCTAAGATTTGGGCCTAAGGCCCAAGCTTGAATAGAGCCTGAGGTCAAGCCCAATCTTCCAAACCTGAAACCAGCCTATATTGTAATTGGATGCACTCAAGTTGTGTTTGGGTTGAATATGTATATATGTAAATACATATCTATAAAAGTACTTTTATGAAAGCACGTTTATATAAGTACTTTCATAAAACTATTTTTTCAAAAGCACTTTTATAAAAAATTTGCATTTTTTGCATTTTCTACATTTTTTTTTGTTATTTTTTGCATTTTCTGTATCTTTTTAGTATTTTCTGCATTTTCTGCAATTTTTTGGTATTTTTCTACATTTTCTAAAATTTTCTAGTATTTTTCTACATTTTTTACAATTCATTGGTGCTTTTCTACATAATTTTTGCATTTTTTGGTGTTTTTCATGCATTTCCTACAATTTTCTGATTTTTTCTATAATTTTTTAGTTTTTTTTGTATTTTTCTACAATTTTTTTGGTTTTTTTTTTTTGCATTTGCTGCATTTATCTACAATTTTGCATTTTTGGGTATATAGGTTGACATAACTCATTTTTGTCACGTGGCAGTCTTGAGAGAGATTATTCTCTCAAAATTTATTATTTTGGGCATACGGGCCATCCCGACCCATTTTTGTATTTATAAGTGAGGGTATGTGGCTTAATATGGATGAGGGTGGTTAATGGTCAATATGGGTGGGTCAAGGTGGGTTAGGGTTAGGGTGGATTATGACCCTTTAACAAGGATTGATGATGGGTTATGGTGAGTTGGTGGGTCAATATAAGTGGGTTGTGGCATTCAACCCTTACCCAATCCACACATTTGGCACCCCTAGCTGTATAGTCCCATTGGACTAGGCCCGGGCGCAGCCAAAAAATTAAAAATCCTGAAGTCTTGGACTTGAGCCGAGCTCAAGAACCAAAAATCTATACCCAGTCCATGTAAATTTTGAGGTTGAGTCGGTCTGGGCTTGGTTAGGCCCACCGAAGTTGCAACTCTATGAGAGCGACATAATGGAGAAACAAAATATCCCATTTGGGTTAGTCTATTATTTGCATTCTGCAGGCCGATAAGGAGGTGAACTCATTTAATCTAGAGTATAAATCTATACTAATTTAAAAAGCACGAATAGTCTCAATAATATTTCTGGAATTTTTTGAGGACAAAATTTACCCTTCCATATTTTAATTTATTGATAAAAAATGAGGGCAAAAGGATAATCAATTATTAATATTAAATGATCTATACTACTTTAAAAAGCATGAATAGCCTCAATATTTCTGGAATTTTTTGAGGACAAAATTTACCCTTCCATATTTAAATTTATTGATAAAAAATGAGGGCAAAAGGGTAATCAATTATTAATATTAAATGAGTTGAAAATATACAATTATAAGATATGCATTCAATTTCTTCTCATTAAATCCAACACTTAAGGTATTAATTTGCATTCACCTTCCTTGAATCATATATTTAAGGCATTTTTATTTTTTCTCATCATTAAATTCTATTAATTAAATCCATACATAATAATATATTAATAATTCCAGTAACATAAAAACATACTTTTAAAATCTACCAGAAAAATAGTGTTTTCATCTTGGCAATGGTAAGAAATTAAACCATTTCGGGTCAAATTGGCCAATCCATGTTGTCACAATTAAATAATAAAATGAAAAAATATAGAAATTAAAAAAAAACTGAAAACATTTTTAACATCATATATTCGACATATTAAACAATAATAAGAATGATAAATAAGAAATGATTTTATTAATGATGAAAATGGAATGTAAAATTTAAAACTGATTAGAAATAAAACTATTTTCCTATTCCCTCTCATTAAATCTCATATTAAGGTATATTTTCTTATTAAACCCACAAAATTAATTTTAATATTATGAAAATAAATCTTTTGAAAAATAATTTGCAAACTAAACAATTTTCTTCCCTCCCAATGGTGGGTAAGCAATTTAACCATTTTGGGTCAAATGGGTTAATAAATAATGTTATAATTAAACAATAAAAAATTTAAATATATAAAATATATATATATATAATACAAAAAAAATAAAAAGAATTGGATATATCTAATATTGAATATTCATTATAGTAAAAAAAATATGTATGAAATGTAAGAAGTTATTTTATTAATGATGAAAATGGAATGCCAAAGTCAACCTATAAATGAAATGATATCATAGTCAAATAATAAAATTTTTAAAAATAAAAAATATAAATAATAACAAAAATAAAAATAAAAATTGGGCACATATCTAATGTTATATATTCATAAAAATAAATATTGGGTACATCTCTAATATTATACATTCATTACCAATGATGGAAATGTAATAAAAAATTTAGTGTCAACCTAGAAATCAAATTATTTTCCTTTTTGGGTTTTGGGTTAGTGGTTTGGGTCAAATGCATTAACCGATGATATGGTAGTTAAATAGTAAATCTTTAAAAAATAAAAATACAAGTAACTAAAAGAATATATTAATTATGTCAAACAAAAATTAAGTATGATAAATAAAAATTATTTATATGATATAGATGATATATAATTTAAAAAAAATCCGAAAGTAAAGCTATTTTATTATCTAGATGGTGGGTTAATGATCGAACTTTTTAATGAAATTCATGGTCATAATTGAATAATAAATATTTTAAAAAAGATAGAACACAAACAATGAAAAAGTACAAAATTCTATTTGAGAACATTTACAATATTATATATTCATCATAATAAATAAAAATATTTATTAAAATAAAATTTATTTTTATTTATGGCAAAAATGGAATAAAAAATTAATAATAATAATAATAATAATTGTTATTGTAATTTAAAATTTCTACATGCAATGCACATGCATTCACTACAAGCATTTGAGTTTATTTTTAATCATATTCTTACTTTTGTTAGTTTTCATTTCTTATCTTAATTATGATATATCTAAAATTCAAGTAATTAATATGAAAAAAATTTCTCACTTTCAATACACATGCTTAATCACAAGACAAAATGCGAAAATCCTTCCTCTGTAATAAAGAGTTCAAATATATGAATAATGAAGATAGCAGGAAACATTCTAATTAATACATGGGCATGAGACAAAGCAGAGAAGCCAAAACAGTGGATGCAACTGTGACTGAAGTTGGCATCCGTCCCTTGTCCTTGCGAATGAAGAGTGCTTGGTAGACGGGTATGTTAATGAGAACCACCAGCCCGCAAAGAACAATTTGTGAGACCAATTGCTCAACAGCCTTAAGCTCCATGTCCAAAGCCACTCTCTTAAGTGCCCAAACCAAACTGAAAAGATTCAACAATGCTACGGTTGCTAGGATCGTAAACATAGGGGAAGAGGTCCCGAACTCCAGTAGCCCTTGTTCGTATCTCTTGGATACATCCTGATCAGCGACCTTGGCTGTGATAACAAACGCTGTTTGAGAGAACCCTAGTTTCTTCACAATGGTGTCGGTGAACCCAAAGAGGAACGACGTTGTCCTGCGAATCAACACCATCCTTTGCAGGTTCCACCATTGCCTACTGCTTTGCCCACAGCACACTGCCTCCACTAGGCCGCCTACATTCTTGCCAATGAACACAAAGGCAAATGGGACGAACCATAGGCTAGACATCTGAAAGCATGAATTAAGAGGCGTTAGACAAGACTCTGCATCTGCTAGCTGTGTGTTTGTGTAATTGTATGAGAGAGAGAGAAAGAACCTGTGGGAACAAGGAAATGCCTTCAAGTAGGGAAACGGGGGTGACGACCACGTAATAGAGTGTTGGGAAGGAATTGGGAGCCCATAAACAGTAAACACAATAGGCCATTTGGAGGCCAATCTTTATCTTCCCAAGACCGTACCAGAAGGGACAGTACTTAGAAACAGCAATTTGAAACATGCCTTCAGCCCATCTCTTAAATTGCACTAGAGATTGATCCAATGTGATGGGAGCAACACCCAAGAAACCCCTTTTCTCCGGATTGTACAAAACTGATTTCCAGCCCCTGCATTGGATCGTTAGCCCTGTTATTACATCCTCCGCTGGACACCCATAAATCAAACCCATCTGCAACCCAACAAAGTAGAGCAAGTAACTACGCTGAGCCACACAGACACACACACAAGAGAGAGAGAGACAGAGAGAGAGAGAGACCTCCTTTCCCCACTGAGTACCATTCTCGTAAGTACAATTGGCCAAAACCTTGGACGATTCTTCCAATTCACAAACACTTTTATGAGTTTTATCCATCTTCCTTATAATCTCCTTGTTCCAATCTACTTTATACCCCTTGTTATACTTCTTCCCAGAAAGTGCCTCTCTCCTGTGAAAACATCCACTCCCACAGTAGAGAGATCCCCCATATCCATCAGCTCCCGCAAGTTCCAACTTCAAAACCAATCAGATCCGATCCATGAATAAAATTAATCAGTTAGTTTATAGAAAAGTTAATTTTCATTAATATTATATTCCTCTGATGAAAATATTCTGATTTATTATTCTCTAAATTTGGTTAACACCCACCTTGTTAATTACCGGGGAGATATTACCGTATATATCATTATTGATGATATTGTCATAGTATTGCGGAAATTGAACGTAAGCAATCTCGTCACCGTTTTCTTCATCCATGAAGAAACATAGTGCATCTCTCAATGCTTCAGGATCGTTTGAGTACATATCGCAGTCGACGTTGAGTATAATCTGCCCGTTGGTTATCTCAGATGATACCCTTATCTGCACAACAAGAGCTAGCATTACAGAGTTACAGTACCGATCGATAAAATATCAAAATATAGACATGGTTGATTTATATTCATACGGCTCTTTTATGTATAGCCACGAGCTGGCGGATCCATGAAGGACCAATGGCCAGTTTGGTAAGTTTTTTTGGAAAGATCTTTTGATAACTCTAACAGTTAAAAGATGTATTGAGTTTTTGTATGAAGATCTGAGTAGCCTAAAGCTAGTTTGGCAGATACACGTCTTTCCATGGTAGAATAAAAAGCGAAAGACGTGAAAAGTTTCATTTGAAGCTTCCCTAAATCAGCCCAAAATGGTCTTCTCGTGTCTTTTTGACATTCCGACTTTTGACGGCTAAATCTTCCGTGAACCAAATGGAAATAAACCAGAAATCGATATGCCCGGCTTGTAAACAATCGAAACACAACATGAAAAGACACACCAAATTGGCCGCAAATCAAATAAGCTTGGGCGCTGAGCTCATTTCTTCCTTGCCCAAGGTCCAAGGATTTGTGCATGGGACATGGCCCTACCGCAAATCAAATAATAGGTGCAGTGAGTCATCAAGAAGCAGGGTTGATTTTGGGACCAGATTATCTGACCATAAAAGAGTCCATTTTGTTTGCAGTTGGAATCAAAATTATTGGAATGGTCCATGTTCATAGTCCGTTTGATTTAAACAGGAACCGGAATCCGAATTAAAATAAGTTGGAATATAATTTCATTCCCAAAGGAGGGAGAGGGAATGACTATTCTCTCAAATGGGAAAATGACATTTTAGCAAAAATGGGAATGGAATTCTGATTCTATCTAACCAAACAATTGGAATCAAAACAACCCATTTCGTTTCCAGTCCAGACCCTTATTATTCCTATGAACCAAACGGGCCCTTAAAGTATTGCCAGGAGTTATAATCTTAACAAATCACACATGCATGTAAATTAAAATGAAAGATTACCAGCGCATTCATAGCTCCGGCTTTGAAGTTGTGAGGGAATTGAGGCCTCTTTTCACGAGCCAAGTACACCAAAGTTGGCAAAGCATGCCCTTCAATGTCCACAGCAGTTGGGTTTGATGAGTCCCTCCCGTCGATCAATATCTACATATTCCATGACCATGACCACACACATTAGTTAGTTGAATATGAACAACAATACATCAACCCAAAACATAAAATCAGAAGACAGAGAAGCATCATCACCTGGAGAATGGTGTGATGATCGCGCTTACTCACTCTCGACTTCCATTCCCAGAATCCCTTGTGTTGTCCCTTTATTTCTTCCGGGATTCTACCCAATTCAACTGCTGTTTCTATCCGGTTTCTCATATCTTCGTATAACATCTAACACAAATACAAAGTCAGAAACGAGGCTACCATATCACCATAAAACCAGCCGGCTTGGTGTGGTTCAAGCCCCAGCCTGACCCGGGTCCATATCAGGCCTGAAATTTCCAGGCTGGGCCTGGGCCCAGGCCCTCTGGTGGTCGTATTATGTATGCGTGGGCCTGGCTTGGCCCAAAAAAATAAAAGCAATAAGCGGAATACCTATACCTTGACGGATAACCATTCCTTGTCGGATGAAGATGAAGCCGGAAAATAGACGGCAGGCGACCTTGGCTCCACCTGGAACTTGTTACAAAAAGGTATCCAATGCCTAGCGAAACGAGAAGCCTCAAAGAGCGCATAGAATGTCAGATCCGATCCACCATCATCCGACAGATATACGCTCAGCTTCTCCGGTGGATAATCGTATGCCATCACCGACAATACAGTGTTAGCGATCATGATCGGTGGCTCTATTGTGGGGTCCGCGGTGCACACGAAGATGTCTACGGCCGGCATCTTATCACCGTATCTGCTTCATGCAAATTAGATTAAAATTGTATACATAGCCGACCATCTGCTCCAAATAGATGGCCCGCTCTGACAAAATAAATAAAAATTAGAAAACGGTCAAAAAATTGTTAGTCGGATAGACGATTTCACTTCTCAGGTCAGGTCAGTAATTTATTAACGAAATAAACAGTTTTTGACAAAAAAGAAATGGTTTTGAAATCTCTAGAACAAACTTATAACAAATCAATCAGTGTCATAAAATATTGAGATTTATGGTACACTAACCTCACAATTATACTATATATTACTATTAGGCTGCTTGTTTGCTTCTCTTTTGACGAGTTCTTGGTGTTCTCCTCCAATATCTTCCATCATTTTACAGATGGAAAGCTCAGATAAGAGAGAGAGAGAGAGAGAGAGAGAGAGAGGAGTACTATAACTCATCAGACAACTATTCTATGGACCGTGCGACTCTTACTGAGACTGTAAGATGAAGGGAAAGGGAAGGAGTGATTAGTGATACCTCTGCGACAGCCTCTCCTTGAAGGGGTAACGAAAAATAACATTCCAACGAACAGATTGAGTGATTACCCAGTAGAACCCAAACCACAGCTCCGCTACAAACAATCCGATCCAAACCCATCTCCCAGGCTCTCCTGCTCTTGGGATATACCATATCCTGTAAACCCAAATCAAACAAATGCCCACAAATATGGTGGATGCAAATAGCTTATAAGTTAGTCTACCCTTCGGTTTTCTTGTCTCAAACAGACCAACTTTCTCATTTCCACCTCCCTCTCTACTACTACTCATCTCTCTCCCTCTATCTTTGCACACACAGACACAGACGAAGTAGTAGAAAAAATATTGGATTCAAAGGGCTCGAGTCTGAGGTTTTCTATCTCAGGTCATACGCTTCCAAGATCCAGGTGAGTCGGTGAACACCGGCTAGCCAGATGATGCAAATAAAACCGTGAAGCTGTCTACCATAATTCACAATGGGAATCTTAATCATAATTCACAAAGGGAAGGTGGGAGTGAAAGACACGTCTACCAATCAACAGGAAGTGCTGAATATAATGATATTTGTGGTTTAAAGTCTCCCATCGAAAACGAAAATATATAAAAGTAAAAATAATTCAGTGAAAATTCCCGGTTAGTACCTCTATTTGTGATTAGTGCCACTTTGGTTCCCATACTTTAAAATGCCACAATACAGTATCCAAACTTTTAAATTGTGTCAATCCAGTATTTGTCGTTAACCAGTCCATTAACCAGTGGTTAAGTGGCATTTGAAAAGACATGCCCTTCCAGTGTCATTTAATTCTCTTTATCAACCATCCAAACATTGATAAAAAATGAACAGTCCAAAATTCTTGCCTCTTCTATTCAAGAAAGCTGAAGTCATGTCTCAGTGGGTATTCAAGAAGAGGTAAGAATTTTAGATTGTTCATTTTTTATCAATATTTGGATGGTTGATAAAGAGAATTAGATGACACTTGAAGGGCATTTGTGTCTTTTCAAATGTCATTTCATGGCTGGTTAACGGCAGGTACTAGATTGTCACGTTTTGAAAGTTTGGGTATTGAACTGTCGCATTTTACCCGACCTAAACCTAGTTACTAGAGCCCAGCACTTACATGCAAATAATCATTCCCAATTTTAAACCATGGTTTTAAAAAATGACCTAGAAATAGAACCGTTCTAGCCATCGATTTTCAAGTCGACGGTTCGACCATCTAGTTCGAACAAATAACTCGTTCTAATAACAAAAATAAAAAATAATTAAAAATAAAAATGACAAAAAACCGTTAAATAAGTTGGCAGGTCGACGGTTTGACCTCCCAAGTCAATGGATCGTTGACCGATTCAACGGTTTTTGGCCAGGTACATGGTTTGGGTATAACGGAACCGGTTACCTAGACGATTCCCAGGCCGAATGATCTGACCATCCAAGTCAACGACGGTTCAAAAACCATGGTAGTTATAAGCGGGTCCAATTCGGTTTTGGTTCCAACCAGACCCGACCAAACACAACCCAAACCTAGTTACTAGAGCCCAGCACGTACATGCAAATAATCATTTACAATTTTAAACCATGGTTTTAAAATGACTCAGAAATGGATTTGTTTTGGCCACCAGTTTCCGGGTCGATGATTCGACCATTCGATTCGAATGGACAGCCCGTTCTGACAATAAAAACTAAAAAAAATAAAATAAAATAATGGCTAAAAGCAGTTGAACGGGTTGACAGTTCGACCACTCGGGTCAACGAATTGGTGACCAGTTCAACGGTTTTTAGCCATGGCTGGGACAGATTACTTTTTTAATCACCTTTACTGTTTAGGAAGGATATTCAACTTTGTTTCTTTTCAATCCTCCTATGCAATGCCTTTTATTTGGCTGGGATTTCAGATTGAGAAAACTTAACAAAACAGAGAGCTAGATTTGACTTTCAGATTTCAGAACTTTGAAATAATCGGTTTATAAAACCTTTCTTTGCACATTAGATTTATCTATTTTCCTCCTCTCTTTCAAATTTCTTATAGAACCAAACAAAGTAAAAAAGAAAAAGAATAAACATTTTATCCATATAATTAAGGTAACATGGATATCCAATGTATTTACACTTAATATTGAAGAAAATTATTCTATCTGAGTACATCATTTAAATAATTTTTCCCATAAACATGTGTGGATTTGGACAATGAAAAGGAGCAATTCCTCTTCCAATTGCGCAAGCTGCAGTAATAGAGGCAAAACAACTGTTATTGATGAAACCACGGAGATGAAAAACAATACATAAATAGAACAAAGATTTTAATGACAATTAAAATTTTATAGCACACAATATAAAATAAAAATTAGGATCTTTTGGCAAGTGTTTCCTTCCCAATAGGTCTTGTAATCTCACTTCAGCTACAAGTTTCAAATCACCTACAAATACACAAGTTTCACCAACCAAAAGAAAACATAAGTTTAAGAGTTTAAGTTTAGGAAATCAAAGATACTTAACAATATTGATGGAGTGGGCATAGATACCAACTAAGGGAAATAGCACTTTCAGCCACATATCATTTCAATAATAATAATAAATAATAATAATAATAATAATCCATTCAAGAAAACCAAATGCTAGCATCACTAGATTGGTAACCACATAGAGCTTATAACAACAAAAGACATAACACCCCATCCTCTTGTGATTTTAGGATTCTATTATAGAGAAAGCCTATGACATGTTAGTAATACTTAAAAAATCATAGAATTTTGAGGGACAATGACAACTCATTGACTCAAAACATTGATGGAATATTATAGATGATATATTAATAAAAAATGAAGCTTGATCCAGAACATAGTGGGTATGTTCGATTGTTTGGATTTGGACCAACTCCATCAAAAGTTTGGAGCAAAAAAGGAGAAAATGATATGTTGAAAATAGAGAATGAAAAATTACACAAGCAATTAGAGGAGAAAAGAGCAAAAAGAGAACAATTAAAGACACAACAAGACCAAATGCAGTTGGTCATAACTTCATTATTGGCTAATCTTGCTCAAAATGGAACTATCGACTTGTCAAATATCTTATGTGGATCAACTTCAGCATTGCAGGTAATTATTTCTAAGTAGATTTATTTAAAGTTTAAATTAAGTAGTTTATTTTTTTGCAGGAGAATAATAATGAGGGTGCTAGTGCTTCTGAAAATCAAACACTAGAAAAACAAATTTGATGAGAAAAATTTTCCTTTGAGACTAGCATTTTTTATTTAAGTGTTACTTTTTTGTATATAAATTTTTTGAATCTTAATCTTTGATGATTTGAATATGTTATCTTTTAGAAACCAATGAATACATATTTATGTGATGGATGGATTTAATGGATTTAAGATTGTCTATTGATTGAATTGAATGAACAAATGAATGGCCATAATAAATTATATGTAAAATATGTTATATGGATGTAACATAATGAAATTAATATTGATAATAGTTCCAATTATGTGATCATTGGCAACAATCGTATTACTTTTAAATATGTGCAAATTTTCTACTAATTACAATTTGCAAATTATTTATAACAATTAAAGATATAACACTAACTAAATGAATGTTGACAACCATTTTTAATTGTAACTAAATACAATGAAGAGTAATTAGTGAAATCAATAACAATTATTCACTTGTTGCTAATTTAACAATAGTTTATAATTACTGTTGCTAAAATTATTATAGACAATAATTGCAGAATTGTTGCTAATTATATTCGCAACATTTAAATAGAATTGTTTTGTGAATAATTCATAACAATTATATAATTGTCTTTATTTCAATGAAAATTGTTACAAAATATAGTTATAAACAATAATTGGTCAATTGTTGCCTATACTTTAGCAACAATTAATGTGCTTGTTTCTACTAACATATATGATTATATTTAGCAAATTATTGCAAAAATTACTTTTTAGCTACAATCAATAGTAATTGTTCCAAATAATATATATTGGGCCACTGTTGGGTTTCATTGTTGCAAAAAGACAATCTTAACAACAATTATATTACTATTGCTATATATATCATCATTAGAAACAATTGATTATAATTAAAAATTTTTAACCACAGCACTATCGGCAACAGCCAACCTAGTTGTAACTAAAACCTTTAGAAACAGTTTTTAAACATTTAGCAACAAAATTGTGACTGTTGCTAAAAGTTAATTTTCTTGTAGTAAGGGATCCAGAACTCAAGACTCCTAAGCTCTCTTTGGAGACTCTTTTATCTTCTGTGGCTTCGCCTGAGTTCCTTCGGTGAATTTGGCTTCCATTCGGTGACCATGTTGTTATTTTCCCTATTTTCTTTTCACTTAACCATATTTCGAATTAGGCATTTTCATAATTGTATGGAACAAAATGTTGGAATCTGAAAATGTAGGGTAATTCTTTACCCCAAACTTTTATTTGGGGACCTAAATATCACTATCCCTAAAGTATAGGGTAAGGTCTATGTATTTTAATCCAAAAAAATCCACTTCTTTTTTATTGTTAAGATATATAATATCAAAAGCCGTAAACAGAATATTAATCGTTTGATCAGGAAAAAAAAAAACTCTAGCATCTTCAACCCTACAGTGTAACCAGTAATAGGCCGATTGAATCCCTAGCAGTGATTATGTCTCATCAAGATGGTGTTTGGTATCAATGTAGTTTTTCGGAGCAATGGTGCCTCGAGCTCAGCATTACAGATGTATTTAACAAAAAAAGTGCAAAAAAAAAAAGTTATTTGGTGTTGAACCATTTATAAAAAACGTCAACTTGGTTTTTATTATTCAAGGCCGTTTTTTTTATTGTTTGGCTTATATGGTGACTAATGGGTGTTGAGGTATAAAACGTCGTACAAAGCAGATTTTTCTCATTTTTCATGATAAAATCATACAAAATGTTTATTTTATAAACACCATCAATACCAAACAACTGCCAAAGTTACATATACCACACATGTGTTCTCCTCAAGACTTGACCTATTCATGGGCCGGGTAGCCCAACAGCCTGGCCCGCACCCCGATTGGGCTTGGACATGTAGTTAGGCATGTAGACCTGACCTTGGGCCCAAAACACCAAGCTCAATTGTGTTTCAGGCGGGGCTTGGGATTTGTCAATAAATCCCGGCTCAGCTCGACTAATTTATATAACATAAAATATATAATATTTATAATATATATTAATAATTTAGTATATACATTTTTTTTATTTTTTTCTTTATAATCTTTCTCTCTCTCTCTCTCTGTTCAGCCGCTTTAGTGATAGTAGCGGCATGAGCTTTAGACTTCGGGCTTGGGCCCAGGCCCAGGCTTCGAGCTTTTTATGAGGGTCGGGCTCGGGCCCAAGTTATAGGCCCGATGGTCGGCCGGGATCGAGCTCAGTTTTTAAAAAAATCTGTTAATGAAGAGTAAAAGCCCGGTCCGATCCAACCCAAGAATAGGTCTACTCAAGACCATCAATTTGGACTTGGGTTTGTGGGGTATCCAAGAAAAAACTTTGGCTTTTGGAAGAAACAACCGAGCTGTTTAAGACTTTTTTGCACATGACATGTTTTACCACTTGGCCCTTGCTTTTTTTTTCTAACTAAAAGAATATTTTAGGAAGAGTGCAAATACAAATATGCACAATATAAATATATACAAAATAATACAAAATAGAAGATTTTGCATTCTACATGTTTGTATTTGTACTCCTAGAGTCCTATTGCATATGATAACAGCCTAGCTTATTTGACGATGCAAATAAGTGTCAATGCAAATATATAGAGTGTAAAATGGTTCATATAAATTGTAAAGTTGGGTGTCATGTGCAGCAATTTACCTTAGCTATTAACCCAGTCCAAAATAACTAGCTGTAGCGAGCTAGACAGTTACTATTTCTTTTAGTCTCTATTTTCTTTTAGCAATTGCTATTTTCTACTACTTAGCAGTTGCTATTTCCTAGTAGCTGCTATTTTCTAGAATTGCTATTTCTTTTAGTTTCTATTTCCCAGAAATTGCTGTTTTCTTTTAGTGGTTACTATTTTTTGTAGTTGCTATCTTTTAGTAGTTGCTAAGTTTGTTGGGCTTGTAAGCTATAAATATCAATGTTCTCAAGTAATGAAGGAGGAGGAAAACTTTCAAAAGACTTGTCTTGAATTATGTTCCATAGATTCTTAAGTTCTGCTCTTACCTTAGCAACATAGCTCGAGGTCGAGGTAGGGGGCGAGGAAGGGGTCGGGGGCGTGCCATCAACCTAGAACGTGACAGGTTGGTATCAGAGCCGGTTATGGCTGACGATCAGCGACTCCAACGGCTTGAGATTTAGGTGGAGAACCTGAGCTCAGGTCAAGAGAGGCTCCTTAAGCAGATGGAAGAACTAATGGGGACAGTGAACTCCCGATTAGAATTGACGGAAGAAGGGTCCTCAATAGGAATCGGGGACCACATGGACAAGGTGGTGTCAGGAACGCAGGTGGAATGGTGGCTCCTAAGCTTGCAAATCCAACCTTATGGATTTGCCGCGAAGAACAGTTCTTTGAATTTCAAAGGACATCATTGGAAGATCAAGTTAAATTAGCAGCCTATCACTTAGAGAAGGATGCTCAGTTGTGGTACCAGCGACGCAAAAACCAAGGACACTTGGTTACTTGGGAAGGAATGAAGGCGGGATTACTAGAGAGGTTTGCTATAACTGAATATGAAGATTTCTTTGGAGACCTATGCAAGCTTAAGCAGACGGGGACTGTTTCAGATTACCAGACTCGGTTTGAGAGACTTCTAGCTCGAGCCGGTACCTTGACAGACAAACAAGAAGCTGAGTGTTTTATTAGTGGACTAAAAGATGGGCTAAGGGCTGATGTGAGAGTCCAAAACCCCCAAAGTCTATCCTGTGCAATTGGGCTAGCACGTACCTATGAACTCAAGGCCTAGGAGGTAAGGCGCTCCACTAATACAACCTTTCATTCTTCAGTTCGCAACTCCAACAACCAATGGAACCATTCAAACCCAAGTGGTTCTAAAAACACCACTCCATAAAAGATTTTACCCATCTGTAAATTATCCCCAGCCGAACTCCAAAAGCGGGGAGAACAAGGTTTGTGCTACAATTGTGATGAAAAGTACACATTGGGTCATAAATGTAAGAAACTATTCTTCATTGAATTAGAAGAAGAGGATGAAGAGACCATTGGAGAGGAATATGTAGAAGAGACACCGGCTATCTCTTTACATGCCTTGGCGGGGGTCCAATTACCACAAACCATACGTGTCCACTCACAAATTGGTAAGACACCATTAACAATTTTAATTGATTCTGGTTCCACTCACAATTTTTTGCATCATAAATTTGCCAAAATCAGTGGACTCAAGCCGGAAAGAGGCTGCTTGTTTAACGTGGTGGTCGCTAATGGGGAAAGATTGTCAAGTCCGGGACGTTGTAGTGGAGTAAAACTATCCCTGCAAGGCATTCCAATTGAGGTAGATTTTTTCTTGCTTCCTTTAGAAGGTTGTGATGCTGTTCTAGGAGTACAGTGGTTGGGTACTCTTGGCCCGATTTTATGGGATTTTGGAAGGATGCAGATGCAGTTCACTCTAGCTGGGCGAAAGGTGCTGCTACAAAGTTCAACATCATCAGAACTTCGAGCTCTCGAAGGTGAAATTGTTCCTAGAACATTAAGGCAAAGTGATGGTAGGGGAATTATCTTACAGTTGTGGGCAATCCAGCAAGAGTATACAGATCGTGAGGATTTACTGCCTGAAACAATGGGGCCTTTACTCATTGAGTTCAGCAACCTGTTCGAAGCCCCTATCGGGCTACCACCTCCGCGCTCTCATGATCACAGGATTCCTCTCCAGACAGGAGCAGGACCAACTTGTGTACGTCTGTATCGATACCCGCACTTTCAGAAACAAGAGATTGAGCGCTTGGTGGAGGAGATGCTATCACAAGGTATAATTCATCCTAGTCAAAGCCCATTCTCCTCTCCAGTACTTTTAGTACGAAAACACGATGGGAGTTGGAGGTTTTGTGTAGACTACCGAGCACTAAACCGGGTGACGGTCAAAGATAAGTTCTCAATTCCTATTATAGATGAATTATTGGATGAGCTACATGGCGCCAAATTCTTCACCAAACTGGATCTCAGATCCGGGTACTTCCAAATACGGATGAATCCTCTTGATGTGCATAAGACAGCCTTCCGAACTCACCATGGGCACTTCRAATTTCTGGTAATGCCTTTCGGCCTCTCTAACGCCCCATCTACATTTCAATCACTCATGAATGAAATTTTTAGGGCTCACCTAAGGAAATTTATCTTGGTATTCTTTGATGATATTCTAATTTATAGCAACACATGGGTTGAGCATCTGAAACATGTTAGAATTACCTTTTCTATTTTACGAGCCCATCATCTTGCAGTCAAGAAAGAAAAGTGCCAGTTCGGGCAAACCCAAATCAAATATTTGGGGCATATTATCTGTCAAGACAGGGTGAAGGTGGATCCAGAAAAAATAAAGGCAATGGTGGAATGGCCAAAACCAACAACCATTAAAGCCTTGAGAGGTTTTTTAGGACTAACAGACTATTATTGAAAGTTTATTGCAGGCTATGGCAGAATTGCAGCCCCCTTGACTGACATGTTGTGAAAAAATGCCTTTTCTTGGTTCCAAAAGGCAGAAGAAGCGTTTGAATTATTGAAACAAACCATGACGCAAGCTCCAATTTTAGCTTTGCCTAATTTCGTGCTCTCGTTTGTGGTGGAATGTGACGCATCAGGGAATGGATTAGGGGTTGTCCTAATGCAAGAACAAAAACTTCTTGCTTATTTTAGCACCGCCTTGAAAGGAAAACATCTGTTGTTGTCCACTTATGAAAAGGAACTTATGACACTGGTTCTCGCAGTAAAAAAATGGCGACCTTACTTGCTTGGACATCACTTTGTGGTTCGAACTGATCATCGCAGCCTCAAATTCCTTTGGGAACAACGAATAATGACAGAACCACAACAAAAATGGCTGCTCAAATTAATGGGTTATGACTTCTCCATCAAATACAAAAAGGGCAAGAATAATATGGCTGCAGATGCTCTATCAAGAAGAGAAACACATGGGGAGTTCAATACAATCTCTAGCCCTCTTCCTTAATGGCTGGAGTCCACCAAGGGCGAGAACCAGTCACACCCGGAGCTGCAACGAATTCATCACTTATATGAGCAAGGAGAAGCTATTGAGCCATGGGAAAATCGACATGGCGTAATGTTCTTTAAGGGACGTATCTATCTTCCATCAAACTCAGAACTCATCCCAATCATTCTCTAGGAAATCTATGGTGCCGGACATGAAGGACTTTACAAAACTCTTCATCGCGTAAAAGCGATATTCTATTGAAGACAAATGAGGAAAGTTGTACTGGATTACATCAAGCAATGTGATGTATGTCAACGCCATAAGATAGATCATCAAAAACCAGTCGGGCTTCTCCAACCATTGCCTATCCCTACACAGGTATGGGCCGACATCTCTATGGATTTTATTGATGGCCTTCCCCCATCTAAGGGGAAGACAGTCCTCTTGGTGGTGGTAGATCGTCTATCCAAATACGCACACTTTATTCCAATGTCACCCATACACTGCACCAAAAGTGGCCCAAATATTCTTTGAAAATGTGTTCAAACTCCATGGCATGCCGAGTTCAATAGTATGTGATTGAGACTCTACTTTTATAAGTGCTTTTTGGAAAGAGCTTTTCAAATTGCAGGGGACTAGTTTCAACTTCAGTTCATCTTATCACCCCCAGACAGATGACCAAATAGAGGTAGTAAATCGAACTCTTGAGATGTACCTGCGTTGCTTTACTAGTTCAAGACCCAAGGAGTGGGTCCAATGGGTCCCTTGGGCCGAGTTCTGTTACAACACTAGCCTACATGCTTCTACTCGCAAAACTCCCTTTGAAGTGGTGTATGGAAGAGAGCCCCCCGATTTGCTTTCCTATGTTCCAGGTACGTCAAAGGTCGGGGCTATAGATGACATGCTCCAAGCAAGAGATCAAGTGGTGAAAGACCTAAGAAGCCAATTACAACAAGCACAAGCTAGAATGAAGGCTGCTTATGATCAAGGAAGAGTCGAGAGAGAATTTGAGGTGGGTGACTGGGTATATCTGAGATTACAACCTTATCGGCAAACTTCGTTGGCACTGAGAAGATCACATAAACTATCCCCACGATTCTATGGGCCATACCGGGTGCTGGAATGAATTGGTTCGGTGGCTTATCAGCTTGATCTTCCGTCAGGAAGTAAGATTCACCCAGTTTTCCATGTGTCACTCTTAAAGAAACAACTGGGTACAACTGATAAAATTGATTCTTCTCTTCCATTAGTATCAGAAACATCAAGTCACCTGCAACCTCAACCAATAGCAGTTCTAAACTCTCGAGGCAAAGGGAATAAACGTGAACTACTTATACAATGGCAGGGGCTTCCAACAACCGATGTACTTGGGAGGATGAGATTAAACTTTGAGAGGAATTCCCAGACTTTATGTGTCCTTGAGGACAAGGACGTTTCCACGGGGAAAGGATTGTCATGTGCAGCAATTTACCTTAGCTATTAACCCAGCCCAAAATAACTAGTTGTAGCGAGCTAGAGAGTTACTATTTCTTTTAGTCTCTATTTTCTTTTAGCAGTTGCTATTTTCTACTACTTAGCAGCTGCTATTTTTTAGAATTGTTATTTCTTTTAGTTTCTATTTCCCAGAAGTTGTTGTTTTCTTTTAGTGGTTACTATTTTTTGTAGTTGCTATCTTTTAGTAGTTGCTAAGTTTGTTGGGCCTGTAAGCTATAAATATCAATGTTCTCAAGTAATGAAGGAGGAGGAAAACTTTCAAAAGACTTGTCTTGAATTCTGTTCCATAGATTCTTAAGTTCTTCTCTTACCTTAGCAACATAGCTCGAGGTCGAGGTAGGGGGCAAGGAAGGGGTCGGGGGCGTGCCATCAACCCAGAACGTGACATTGGGTTAGTTTGCATCGACAAATTTACCTTCTTACCAAATAGACTTTCAGCTATAATGGATAAGGTTCAAAGTATTGACACGTATTGGCCCGTATCAGCCGATATCATGTCGGTGGCTTCCCGATACGCCCCTACAGGGGTTGTATCAGGTCAGCCACTGGTTCAGAGGGTAGCCGGGTCTTAAACCAACCCCTCTGAACCAATTTAAAAAAAATAAGTGAAACATAAAGACAAAAAAAACACCGACATAAGTGAGCATATCGGCCTGTGTTAATATTCAGAACCTTGTTAATGGATGCAAATTTTCTTCTTTTTTATTGATGTACTTTTACATCTTATTATCAGTGCAAATATGCATTGAAAAATGCGTTTTCTTTCATTCGTCAATGCATAAATGTAATGTTACCAAATACAGGCAAAAGTGAACCAGAGTGCAAATTTACCCTGAACCAGGATCTACACTTCATTTGCATTGTTTTCCAACGCAGCCTTAGCTGCAAATACTCTTCTACCCCAAAGATGATAACTAGCATGCTGAGGAAGAGAAATGTAGGAAAACCTATAGTATAAATTTCCCTACTTTTTCCTTCAAACCAAACATAGCCTAAGGATCCATTTGGTTCCCATGAAAATTGGGCTGAGGAATAAAGGGATGGGATGAAAGAACAGAAAATTTATCTTCTCACCAGTGTTTCGGTTTATTTGCACCAAATTTGTTGGAAAATCAACTTTTCAATGCTTGTTTACTAAGAAAATTTGTAAAAATCCATAGTGGAAAAAACGTGTGTAGATCCCAATAAAGTAGATCTAGCCATGTGCATGTGGCAAACGAGTTTGGATTTCATGCACTCGTTTGATATAATGCCAAATGCACTCCCATTCATATTGTACCAAACTTTTAAAATAGAGAGCTTGGCCCATTAAACTCCACTCATTTCATTTTTTCAAAATAAAAAAAAAATGGAAAAAATAAATTTAACAGCCCAAATCAAGAAACACAGGAGAAACAAAAACAAGAGAAAAAATAAACAAACCTTAACCCTTTTTTCTAGGAAAGATTAACTGAATGCTGATGGTTGTTCAGCAGGCTGTGAAACCAATAATAAGGTTCCACGCTAGTAAAACAATACATGAAACCCGTACCTTTCACAGTGGGGCTTATGAATTTATTACTGACGTATAACCTCATTATTGATTCTACAACTTGCTGAACAATCATTACATTCAGCTAATCCGAATTCCTCGAGCAGGGGCAAACATCTTTAACAAGAAATCTCTTTCTTGTTCAATCTTCAAGTAGGGGTGGAAGAATTCTATGCAACGTTTTTTTTTTCCCATTTCTTTTTATTCTTTTCACTTGAAAACACTATATTTTACTCCAATTGAAGCTATAGTATGGTTAATCTTGAATCCAATTGTAAACCGAAGCTTTCTCCTTTTGCTCCTTTCTTGGTCTTTTGTATTGATAAAAGAACATATAATGGCTCTCGTCTTACCAATCCAAGTGAAAAAAACAGCGTTTGCAATAGGAAAAAACTATTGCAGATCTAAAATTACTCCTGCCTCGGTCTCTTGTACTGCTAAAAAGAATATCTTGCCAATCTTGTCATATACACAATATTACTCCTATCTCGGTCTCTTGTACTCTCCTAAGCACAGCACCAAACTGCTACCTCTTTTCGTGGGGTCCCAAAAATGAAGAATACAGTATTACTCTTCGTCTTGTTGGAAATGACTTCGCCCCTTGATGAAGGTTGAAGAAAAGAGAGATTCCTTATTGTACTGCCCCTTGAAGAAGAAAAGACTACCACTCTAGAAAAACAGTTAAATTTCACTTATGAATAGTTTCTACCCCTTGTCTAGAATAAAGGGTTAGGGTTTGTTGAAATCTTTTTCTTCCATCATTGGTTTGCATCATTTTTTCCCTCTTGGTTTGGGTGGATAAATTTCATTGTTTTATTTTTTTAATTTGAAAAAAAAATGATTAATTGGTAGGGCTGTTCATAGGAAGGCCCAACCCGACCAACTCAGACCGACCCAACCTGAGTCGGTCGGGTTTTCGTCAGCACGGGTCAGTTTTGGGTTGTACAAATTTCTAAACCGAAGATTCGGGTCGGTTTCAGTTTTTACACAAGAAAACCGAAACCGACCCAAACCAAACCGACTTAGTTCCTAGTTCAAACATGAAGTTCCAAAGCCCATTAGGCCGCCTAGTTTTTGAATGGTTGCAAGAAACTTTGGATTAGTGAATAGTGATTAATGAACAACTTTTGTGATTAACTTTTCATTTAAATTTTATCATAGGAGATGGCTGAAATGATGTTCAATTTATGACTGTTTTTAAAATTAGCAAGATTTTATCACAGGGATGAACTTAGAACTGAAACCGATCCAAACCGACCCAACCTGACTCAAACTGACCAAGTCGGTTTTGCTTAACACTGGGTCGGTTTCGGTTTCTATGTCAGGTAACCCGACCAGGTCGGATCGGTTGGAAAAACCACAGTAAACCGACCCAACCCGACCCATGAATAACCTTATTAACTGAGGTCAAATTCTCTATTTAAAAATCATCAGAGGTCTATAAACCCCCAAAAAAAAAGAAAATAAGGTTAAATTTGGAATGAATATAAATACAAATATGTAGAGTGTGAAATTTTGTATTTTACATTATTTTGTACATATTTACACTGTATATTTGTATTTATACTTCCTCGCGGCCAAATATGTCCAAATCAATTGATGTTGTCTTAGAAATATCGCCAAACACAGTGATCGAAAATGGCTGGAGTTCCATCCAACCAATGGCAGGTAAACGACGGTGGATTGTGGGAAAAGAATAACCCATCTAAAATACAAAAAGATAGGGCTTAATCAAATCGCTATCGTGCATAGAAGGTCGATCTAGTCTTACCTTTAGTTATGGCCATAGATTTAAGTGTAACCATCGGAGGGCATGAAAGCTAGGTTGAGTTGTACTGATTTCCTTGAGATTGTCTCAATAGATTCTTTTTCCGTGGGGTTGTACTGATTTTTTATTTTTTACAGAAACCATGCATTAGTTAAGTATTATGATTACAAAAGGAATTTTGGTTGCTCACGTTACTACTTTATTATATTTAAAGCTAGTATATGAGCAACGTCATTCATTTGTCTATTTAGGTTGGTTTATTTATACATTTTCTATATAAAAAGACAAAAAAAAAATGTAGAGCTTGATCTTTGATCGGTAGAACAGACCAGTCACATTCATCATCTTGTGTTCACCATGCTTTCTGAGTGATGTGGGTTAGTTTGGCCCAGCCCATCGCACTAGGAAGTTCAGCCCACTAACGTCTGACAGCCTCAGCCACCGCAGGGGGAGTCCTGCTACTTTCTACGGAGCTAATCGCATGACGGTCAGACATACCTGTCAGGGCCTGCCGCCTGACTTTGTACGGTTCTCATCCGGTGCATTCATCTTTACTTACCTCTAGCCCGCTCAAGTATAAATAAGAAGTAACTCCCCCTTAAAGGGGATCCGAAATTGGGAATTCTAACATAGCTCACTCATTTACTTCCCACGCCCACCTTGCTCCCTTAGCATTTACTCTTGGACATCTGGTGCACCCGAGGACTATCACCAAGACCTCGTCTGCACCCCCTCTTATTTTATACCCCGTACTGACTTGAGCATTGGAGCCTTTGCCTCAGGTCTCCACCCGAGGCCTCTGACACTTCCTGTTTTGCAGTACCTCCGATCTCCAGGAACCTCGCCACCGAAACGACGACCTGCAGTCCTCGGAAGGTATACCTCGCCTCAACCTTCGGCTTACCTCTTCCGAGGCCTCGAAGTCTTCAGCCTACTCTTAAGCTTGAAAGCCATGGTGCGGAGAACCGGGAATAATCAGAACCTGGTCACTTATGAACAGTTTCAGGCTATCCTCAATCGTTTGGACTGCCTTACTCAATGTGTGGAAGAAGTCTGCCCCCGAGCAAGAGGTCCCTCTCGAGGCGAACGCCCCGCTGGGGTATCAAAGGATCCGAACTGACACGAGCATGTCGAGCTACCAGCCCTCGACCAAGGTAATAACTCACTGGCCGAGCCATCAGAGTCGGGCAACAACCGTCCCCCAAATTCACCACGAAGGAACATCCCTGATCCGTCCTCCTAGCCAAAGGGAAAACATGGCCGCTCAATCCGAAGATAGTCACCAACCTTCAGAGCAACACCATCGTCGCAGGAGGGAGGTCCCTAGGGACGA